CTATTCATATAACACACTGATGTATTTAGGGTTTGGGGTTCAGGGTTTAGGGTTTAGTAATTTAGGGTTTAGGGTTTAGGGTTTAGGGTTTGGGGTTTAGGGTTTAGGGTTTAGGGTTTTTATATTCTGGCGTCCACCACAGAGGCTCCGGAGGCAACTCGGCGAGCAGAAGGAGGCCGAAGACCTCCTGGCGCACGTCGCCGAGGCCCATCCTCGGCTCGGGAAGCCCCGAGGGCTTTAGGCTTTAGGGGTTAGGCTTTGGGCTTTGGGCTTTGGGCTTTGGGCTTTGGGCTTTGGACTTTGGGCTTTGGGCTTTGGGCTTTGGGCTTTGGGCTTTGGGCTTTGGGCTTTGGGCTTTGGGCTTTGGGCTTTGGGCTTTGGGCTTTGGGCTTTGGGCTTGGGCTTTTGGGCTTAGGGCTTAGGGCTTAGGGCTTAGGGCTTTAGGCTTTAGGGTTTAGGGTTTAGGGTTTAGGGTTTAGGGTTTAGGGTTTAGGGTTTAGGGTTTAGGGTTTAGGGTTTAGGGTTTAGGGTCCGAAGCTGCGCAGGACTTCCAGCAGCTCATGTCCGTAGTGACCAACCTCCGGCAAGCCGTGGAGAGTGGCACCAGGCAGCCTTCCGAGTCGGGGAGGGCTTCGGGGGGTTCGGGGGTTTCGGGGTTTAGGGTTGTGCAGTTGTGCGAGCCTTTGAAGCCCATATCCAGAACTCTTGAAAGCCTGAAAAGGCCTACTCTCTTCCCCCGTGTGACCCCTTCATTGCAAGATCTCGGCCCGGACGAGAGAATGTCAAGCTCAAGGAGGATGCTCTGCAGTCCAAGCCGTAAACTCAGTAAACTCCGTAAACGCTAAATTCCGCCCCACCCCCCCCTCCTCTAAGCTTCCCCATCCTGCCATCCTGAAGCCCAACCGCCCCCCAAACCCCACTAAGCCCTAAAAACATCAGAGATTCTCCACCCCCAAAGAGGCCCAAGACCCCCCTCAACATCCCTGAGCCGTAAACCCTAAAATCCGGGAGGCCCGAGAGTGAGCCGGGGCCGGAAAGGCCCCGGCTCAAAGCGAAGCCACCCTTCGCCTGGCAGCCCTCCCAGGATCAGGGTTGTAGCGGTTGTGTTCAGGATGGAGCCTTCTTGTGCCGGAGAACTTCGGTGTTTGGCTACTTGGGGGCTAGTTGGGGCTGTTTTGGGGCTTTGCAGCTTGGTGTTTGGGGTTTAGGCGGGTTGGCGCAGATTGGTTATGACGATCCAACAAGAAAATGCTTCAGAAATGAGTGTTACCACTGCTTTCAGGACTCGCTTTCCTCCTTTTGGGCCTGTAGATGTCTGCCACATCAGCATAGAGTCGAGGTGGCTCTGTGAGTATGGAGTATGGGACGTGGGGTTTTGCAGGAGTAAGGGGCCTTCAAAGCGATGCTTGGTCCCGGATGGTCGACCTGGGGCTGCAGCCCTTCGGGACTAAATGGACCCCAAAAAGGGTCTATGGTTCATATACCTTAACAGCAACTATACTATGGTAGCTATAGTAGTATAGGGTATATGAAGTATACTATAGCAACTATAGTAGCATAGGGTATATGACCCCAATCTTAGGGTTCATTTGGTCCCCAAGGACACGGCCCAGATTTTGAGGAGCGTGCCTCAGAATTAGCTGTGATTGTCAACTGGCACAGACAGGAGTACGAGAAAGAGTTCCAGGTCACCGGCGAGCCACTTGACCCAACAAGGGGGAGGGGGGGGGGGGGGGTGGGGGACCCGAGCACTCAAAGTTCAAGAGTTCCGGCTTCAGGGTTTACGGTTCAGGGTTCAGGGTTCAGGGTTTAGGTATGGTTTAAGGTTGCGGTGAACGTGGCTCAACGCAACTGCCCTCTTGAACTCTTTCAGAGGCACAGCGAGATTGTCACCAAAGTGGGCGACTTTGAGGACCAGGGTCCGGGCCTCTGGAGGGAAGTCGGGCTCCGTTTGTAGCGGGGGCTCTTTGCCTTCGCCCCCCCACACTTGGCTCTGTTCTTCCCCTTTTACGGGGCCTCCGGCAATCGCCTGAAAGTCACTGGGATGCTGTTCCAAAAATTCACAAAACAACTTTTTCTACTACGTGCTTGCTTAAGAACCCCCCAAAAAGTCAATGACCCCGATAAAGGGAGAGATAGGGAGAGCATCGTTTGTTTTTTTTTGATCTCTGGATGCCCCTCCCGCTGCCCCAAGCGCCGAGGCTGGGTGATACCTGTTGGCGGCTCCTGGCGCCTAATGCGTGGCGGCATCTATCACTGGACCATCCGGATCGAGTGCCTCGGCGAACATTGGGTGGTTTTTGAGGCTCAAAGGATGGACAGCAGGCTTCCTTTCCCGTTTCTGGAGGTTGGGTGCACTGGTTTAGCGTTTGTTTGCATGTGCAGCTTTCGGCCAGCATGCAGATGTCTGTCAAGCTTTGGGTTTATCAAACCCGTTAGTCAGACGCTGGATCCAAACGAAGAATATGTGAGTGAGAGAGTGAGAGCGTCAGAGAGCGTCAGAGAGCGTCAGAGAGCGTCAGAGAGCGTCAGAGGGCGTCAGAGGGCGTCAGAGGGCGTCAGAGGGCGTCAGAGGGCGTCAGGCAGGTGAGAGGGTGAGAGCGTCAGAGTGTCAGAGCGTCAGAGCGTCAGAGCGTCAGCCCAGCTACAGTGCAAGCAGGCGGAAATGCACGAGCCGCCCGCAGCTCCAGCTTGGAATCCATGGCAACTGGGCTGATTCAGGGAACCCCCGGATCTAAAGAAGTTGCGTCACGCCGCATCATTGCTGCTCTCCGAGCACCTTTAGTACTCTTGTGCGGTCAAGTGGGCAATAGGTAGTCCTTGAGTTGGACTGCGGCTCTTCTCCCATTTGCAGGTTGGCTTGGGAGTTGGGTGTACCGACGGTCAATTGATCTTTGAGCACCGTTCGATTTTGCACCAAGGTCCATTACACCTCAGCAGCTGCACTGCCAACAAACAGATCTTCAAACATCCAATAGACGCCAAACGAAACTCACGAGCCCCTTCACATGAAAGCCAGACCTGCAGGGGCCAATCACAATCAGCCCTGGCGCTTGGTCACCACATCACGGTGCTCGTGGTCACGGGACGCCGGGAGCTGAGCTCACAGCGCAGAGTTGAGGAAGCTGAGCACACAAGAGTTGGGCAGACTGGGTGAGGATTTTGAGATTGAGGGCTGATGATTCCTGCCTTATGGTTTAGAGTGCAAGGTTCGGCGCCCTGTTTTCAGTGTAGAGACTTCTTTACGTTGATGGGATGTAAAGGAAGAGTGTGCGTTTGGGCGCACTCACATCAACATTGGGATTTTTGTGACAGAAAACAGGCACCCATATAGACCCCTCTGCTGACAAAGCTTGTCTGGTCCGCAGTGAGGATATCGAAGGGGGACGTCCCAATGACGTGGAGCTCTGTTCGATGTAGTTGGCATGCTGGCATCCGACGGCAGATCGAGCTGGGTTCAGCCAGTTGAATCGCGGGGGGTTTTGGATGCTGCGGTGAAGCCACTCCAAGAACCGCAAAGCTGTGACTCAGTGCTGGGGCCAAGCTTGCTAAGATCCCACGCTGTCCGCTCTCCTGGCATCAAACCTCTTGACCTCCGACATCGCCGAGGAATGCGGACTCCGGATGTCGCGGGGGAGATTCGGGTAGACAGGGACCTTGGCGACTCGACCTGACTGTGGATGTAGGCTTCTGTTGACGCCGAGGCATCGCACACTCTGTGACACGATACGAGAGCTTTGTGGCTTCCCTCGCCTTGCTCTCTCACTCCCCCTGGTCTCTTCAAGCTCATCTCCAGGCACCTCTCAACCCTCGAAACCGATTGTACTCTGGACTTCGGCTGTCAAATCGAAACACTCGGCCGGTGCACATTCTGCTTGCTGTCATGGCTCTCCGCCAGCCATTTCGTGACTGGCGGTGCCGCCTTTCCTGACGACCAAACCCTCACCCGTGCCAATCAAGCTCGGACAGAACTGGTGCCCTACTTGAGAATTTCGTCCATCTGGGCTTCTCTCGATACCTTCAGGTTCTCCTGCATCACCGCCACCAGCTTGAGAGTCATCGCACTCTCGTAGAGTTTCACCAGTCTGAACACTCAGGCCAGCACCCCGGTTCCAGACCTTTGTACCTTTTCCAGTGCATCACAAACCGCTTCCGATAGATCCCTTGACATCCTTGCGACCGGTGCCAAAAACTGACTCAGACCATCTAGTCAACCATCAGCTTGCATTTCGTTGTCACATGAGGATGGAAACCTACAAACGACGGTGTACAACTTCGGCCACAAGTAGAAGCCCTTCAGCTCTATCCCCTGAATTTGTGCATCTCGACACCTCCGAGCACCTCATCTAAACTCGGCCCGAAGCCCTGAAACCCCCAAGCGCTAGACTGCGCTAAGCCCCAAAATGCTGATCGAGGCAACCTGAAGGCCTAGGCCTGGAGCCAGAACCGGGGCCCCGAAGCTGAAGTCTGGATCTGGCTTTGTGAAAAATTCAGACGAGGACGAGCCGTGGCAAGATCGGCCGGGCGGCGACAGGCAGGGTGCCTGAAGCCTAACCTGCCCTGACAGAACCTAACCTACCCGAACCTTGCTTATCCGAACCTAACTTAACTTAACCCAGCTGGCAAGACTGACGAAAATGAACCCTTGTGGGGTAGAGTGTAGTGCTAACACCAGCCTGCCCTGAACCATGGTTGGATTTAAGGAGCTGAGGGAGTTTTAGGGTTCGCGCGGCTTGGTATAGGGGACTCACAATGCATACGATGCAGCACAACCCTGCTCTCGCTACGACATGAATCCTTGGTTCCCTGGGCGGCTTTCGGAGGGAATCCCTGCCAAATCCATGCAGCCACTTAGGGTTGACATGTGTCGATGAGGCCACAAGTGCATCGTGGTTGGTACAGTACCCGGGCATTTCAGCTTTGGGGTTCGGGATTCTAAGGGCCTTTTCATTGGGCTCTTTGGTCGTCTCTCAGCTGCTTGCATTACAGACCCGTGTTGAATGCCGACAGCTCCTCTGATATCAAGAGAGGTAGCACAGGGGAACGTGCGCGTACCTCAGCGGGCCATTTTGCGTGCGCCCATGGCGCGTCGAACTCGCTCGGCCATGCTGAGCTGGACATCTGCGTGTTTCCTAGCTTTGTTTGCTGCAACTGCTTTCGTGACTGGAGGCTGGAAGCTTCAAGCCAAAAGATGCCCATCCAGATTGGCTGCTGGGGCATCTGCCAGTCCAGCAGTTAAGCTTTACCAGTTCGAGAGTTGCCCGTTCTGCAGCAAGGTCCGTGCCTACTGCGACTACAACGGTGTCAAGCTCAACAAGATCGAGGTCAACCCCGTGACGAAGGCCCAGATCGATGGCGTGGCGGGCGACTACAAAAAAGTGCCCATTGCCGACATCGACGGCGAGATTGTGACCGGCTCGGCGGACATCATCCGCAAGATCGGCTCGGCCATCGGCAACAGCGAGAGCGAAGCCGACGCGGAGTGGGGGCAGTGGGTAGACTCGACGCTTGTGAAGACCTTGCCCCCCAACATCTATCGCACCCCCGAGGAGTCCTTGCAGATTGCCGGCAAGGTGGGCGACAATTTTGATTTTGTCTCGGGCACTGTTGCCAAGTATTTCGGCGGGGCTGCCATGTTCTTCGTGGCCAAGAGCTTGGCCAAGAAGGCTGGCATCAGCAAAGGCAAGGAAAGGGAAGCCCTGTACGACGCATGTGCGAAGTGGGAAGGCGCCTTAGGTGAGAAGCCTTACTTGTCCGGGGACAAACCGGGAATGGCTGACCTAGAAGTGTTTGGTGTTCTTTCAAGTGTAGAAGGCACAGATACGCATAGAGACATGCTGGCAAACACAGGCATTTCATCGTGGTACGGCCGCATGAAGAAAGCCTGCGGCCGAGACTAGACTACACGATGCGTGCAATATTTAACGTGCTTCCGGGAAAGTTCTGGAAAGACTCCTCAGACTTTTCGCAGAGCAACGAACACTGTGTTGGGCCGGTTCTCATCGCGTAAACTGTTCTGGGATTTTGGATTTCGTCTGTTGGTTTGAAGGGCGCAGCGTCTCAGGCGGAGTTACAGGCACCTCTTTCAGCTCTCTTTGGTTTCACACCATGTCCGATTTTGTCCAGCAGCCTGGCGCTAAGTCACTAAGCCCTAAGCCCTGCTTCCTACTAATCCTTTGCCCAAGGCCGGCCCTGACCGCAAAACCCAGGCCCCAACCCGAGCCTGACTTTCCTTTGTGGTACTTTACTGCAACTTTAGATCCTTACCCTTTTTTGGGTTAATTGGGTTTCTTAATAAGGCAGCTAAAAAATTAATTTTTAGCTACCCTTCTGAGTGCAGCCAAGTTTCGTGAGATGTGCAGGCTCATTGAGGAGGGCAGCTATGTGCACCTCGAGGTAGACATGCGCGGAGTGCCTGGTGCTCAGCTTTCGGAGTTTCCGACCTGAACTTTAGGAGGGTTTAGGGTTTAGGGTTTAGGGTTTAGGGTTTAGGGTTTAGGGTTTAGGGTTTAGGGTTTAGGGTTTAGGGTTTAGGGTTTAGGGTTTAGGGTTTATCTGGGATTCGTAGTGCTTCGGCGCCAAGTCCGAAAACGATGCCGAGGATTTGTGGATAGTGAGCGGCCTTCAGAAGGTGCAGGTAGTGTAGGTTTGAAAGATGGGAAGATTCTTCCTCTATCGCCCCTCTCTACTATTTGCTTAAGAGCCCAACATAAAATGAAAAAATATTCTTCCTTAAAGGGAAAAAACAAGGGATTAATATTTGTGTTTCTGGGGGGTTCTTAAGCAAATAGCCCTAAACCCTCAACCCGAAACCCTAAGCCCTAAACCCTCAACCCGAAACCACAAACAGTAGCTCTGGGTGCTTTTAGGAATTCGAAGAACGGGACGTTTGCGATGGCAATCAACGACGAGCCCTTCGAGCAGCTCTTTGAAGACATACCTCTGAGCTGGGCCCCCTGGAGGGAGGGGTTTCGGGTTTAGGGTTTAGGGTTTAGGGTTTAGGGTTTAGGGTTTAGGGTTTAGGGTTTAGGGTTTAGGGTTTAGGGTTTAGGATGTAGGGTTTAGGGTTTAGGGCTTAGGGCTTAGGGCTTAGGGTTGGGGAGGGGAATTAGAGTTTCCGTTGCTTGCCGGAGAGTCTGTGGCTTTTGGTGGAGGATTTGGGGTCCAGCTAGTCGTGTCCCCCCTCTTCTTCCCAGATCGCAACGTTTTAGCTTCCATCAAACTTCAGCCGAATATAGGGGTCGGAATAATGACTAATAGCATTCCCTTGTGGTCCCTGAGAACTTCTACTACAATCACTCACCCCCGAAACCCTATTCTAATCATCAAGGCCGCTCAGGGTTCTCGATGGTTCTCTGTCCGGACTTGCAGGGGGCGGACCAATGGACTTGAGTGGCACTAACACCGGAGCTTTCTCCCACACTAAGAGCTCCCACAGGGTGCTGGAGGCGTTTTGTTAAAGAAGCCCTGTTTGCCCCATGGAAGTGTATGTACTATTCAATAGTGACAAAAAAACACCCTGTTTGGGCTGGAAGTGAATCTTGACATCGAGGTTTCGGGATGAAGTTCATGTCATGGTACTTCTACAGCCCTCCAAGTCAAAAGCCCTCAGCCCTCAGCCTCGGACCCCAACCAGACTGTCAGATCATCAAGTCCTCAGTGCTTAAACTCTTAAACTCTTAAGCTCTCAATCCCCGTTCTCTTGAGGCCAGCCGTACTGTTTGATACCCGTCGTGTCCATGGGTGGCAATCAGCAGGGAGCTCGTCCTTCTCTTGTGCAGAACGATACATCAGTTCCGCGAGTCACTTGTGACAGTTTCAGGGGAGATGCGAGCTCCAAGAATGACGGTCTGCTGTCCTGTCTTTGCCCGAAAAGTCGCCAGGTCTCAGATTCGCCTGTGCCCAAACTACTGAGCGGGCTGAGCAGATCGACGTATATGCCGCAGCAGGTCGGGGAGTGGAGACCTTCCCCGTTCTGTGCGGTGCTGAATTAGTCATCTTGTAAATGCTGTCCGAACCAGCGATGAGTCTGCACTAACACGGTGCTACGTCATTGAGAGTGGCGCATCATTTTCGGAAAGCCTATGAGGCCAATGACATTTCTTGGTGGTGTTGCTCGCAGTCCCGCATGCTGTGCTCCTTCGAGCATTCTGCGCAGGATGAAAAAGCCCACTCAAGTTGCCAGACCCCGCAATGACATGGAGTTTCGGCGCAGGTCCTACAGTACTGTGCTGCTGCCGTCCCGCTGCTTTTTGCTCAGTCTGGAACCGAACCTGGCGTTTTGTGTTTTGGGGGGGGGGGGGTTTTAGCTACCTTCAAGCGCCGTACTCTCCAGGAATCTCGTCCAAGGACTATCAGCGCCCCAAGCCCGGATGTCAGTTTCCGACGTGTTACGTTAAAGCTTCCAACAGTTTTTGAAAGGCGCTTGAAATTCTTTGCAATCCTTAAAGTCCTGAAGATTGCGGAGGGGGACACAGACCCGAGAAATAACTCACGAAGGTCCTACGTACATACCCCCTACGTGACTTCACCACAAGCGCTGTCAAATGGCCACGAGCTCAGGGCCAGTGATTTAGTCAACAGCTTGGCCTAGCGTGATTTTTGTCCCGGGCAGAAGTTGGATTCCTATGTTTATCTTCGCAAGCTGCCGCCATGGGCAGAGAGCCACTTTGTTGCAATCAGTACATTCTGGGCCAACTCAATCACCCCAGACATCCCAAAAATCCCCACAAATCGGGCCCTAGGCCCCGACATTCCCAAACTTTAAATCCCAGATGGCTCTTGAAGCCCAAAGGTATTAAAGTGCGCACCACAAGCAAGGTGAATGTGAGGGTGATCTCTGTAGCTCCAGAAGGTTGAGTTGAAAGCAACTCGTTTCGGGATTCGGGTTTCTCGTGGTGGGCGTCACCAAGGCGGGCCCTGGCCTCAACCTGAGATCTCAAACGGTTTAGGGTCTAGGGTCTAGGGTTTAGGGTTTAGGGTTTAGGGTTTAGGGTTTAGGGTTTAGGGTTTAGGGTTTAGGGTCCAGCGGGTCACTGTTCTAGCATTCACTAGTCATTAGGGGGTTCCAGGCTTAGGAACAAACCCACCCACCCAAAGAATCCCATAACATTAAGAAATATAATTACAGTTCACTCAACAACGGTGCCGACGCACCAGAAATGGCTCAAGAACGGTGCCGACGCACCAAAAATGGCTCAAGAGCGGTGCCGATTGAACCAAAAAGTGCTCAAGAACGGTGCCGACGCACCAAAAATGGCTCAAGAACGGTGCCGATGCACCAAAAAGTGCTCAAGAACGGTGCCGACGCACCACAAGTGCTCAAGAACGGTGTAGGATTTAGGGTTTGGGGTTTGGGGTTTGGAGTTTGGGGGTTTAGGGTTGGTACGTCGGGCAGATCAGGCGAAAACCCCCGTGCCTAAAGCCTTAGCCTCATTTGGAACGAAGGCATCCGGTTCTAGCATGGCAACAAAACCCTCAACCCGCAACCCTGATCCCTGAACCCTGAACCCTGAACCCTATTGTACCCTAAACCTAAACTCCTAACCCTTACAGGAACCCTAAACCCTACTTGAGCGAATCGGTTTCAGTCCAAGCCTCGCGGTTCCAAAAGCGGGGTTTGCAGGTGGGCCAAGCTTTCTCCGCTTGTGCGCTTTGGACTTGGCAGTGGGGCGCCTCTGAGATCTCGTCTTGGCTTTTCGGGGACTTGGAGGTTCAGGGTACTTAGTAACGCAACTCTTACTGTACTTATATAGCCCACCTAGAAGGCCCCTTATGTGCCCTAACATGGTTATGGGGACTAGGTAGGTAGGATAAAAGGGAACCCTTCTGAACCCTCTTCTGGCTCTCTTGAGCAGGGACCTTATTCAGAGGGTGTTTTCCCCAAGGGTCCTCCTACTCCTATCCCTAGTAGGGTTGGTTGGGGGTCCAGGGTTGAATGCTCGAGTTTCGGGTTTTGGGTGTCTTTTTGTTAGGATTGTTTGTAGTTGCATCTGGGCTTTGCGAAAGGGAGAAGGAAAGGCTGGAGGGTGCTTCATCGAGGTTTTTCTGAACTTCTCCACGTGAGGGGGGGTACATTGTTCAGGGTTTGAAGTAGCGCGACTGTTGGGTCAAGTAGTTTTTTTTTTGTTTCGGAGGGAGTGCGTGTGGCATGCGCAGGGCATGTGCTACTGCAACGCTTAACGTGACGTGCGCGATGATCAAATGCGAGGCTCCAACATGAGTCTTAAACAACCCTAAGCTCTGACTCCCTGCTAGTGACCCACACAGTTAGGGTCTTGGGGCTTGGGGTTTGGGGCTTCGAGGAGGTTTTCGCAGGTGTAGCGAGCCTGCCCTTCTCAGGTGGGCTGGCTGTGCTGCTGCTGCTCTGTCGCCACGGTGCAAGTCCCAGTCACCTTTGAACGCCCAAGGAACAGAAAAGCTCTGTCGGTCCTAGGCCCCAGGCCCTGGGCCTTACCTTAGCTGTGTCTGTCTGCATTTATGAGTCCACGGGGGTGTTTGAAAAATGTTTGTAAACAGAGTCTGGATAGTACTGCAGATGGGTATTCTTGCCTATCAAGACCGCGGTGTTTTGTTTTAATGGGCGGCTGAATATTGAACAGAAAGGGCTGCAGGACAGACACTGGGAAAACCGCTGTGCCATATCACCTTCGGTGCTCGAGATGAAAACCCCTCAAACATGCAGCAGCTGCGTGCCTGCTTTAAGCTATGATGTGTTCAAAACCCCATTGAGTTATGCACATACTTGGCATTGCTTAGATGGCTGACATAAATCGACCGGTTAACCAGAAAAGAAATTGAACGGATATGGCTGGCCTCCAATGATGTTAACTAACTTCGTGAAGCGACTCACAGTTTGAATGTAGAACTGGTAGAATCAAAAGTCTTCTGCGATCAGCTCTAGCCAGAAACCTCTTGGACATCTTACATATGTTAAAGGGCATTTGTCTTGAAGTCAGTTGCTAGAAGCTGCCCGCAAATACATGTAGATATTATCTTAGCCAAAAATAAGAAATGGGCAGCTTGAAGTAAGTTTTGAATCACCTTTCGGGCAAGTTTCTAGTTTCAAGAGATAATCAGTAGTTTGAACCGATTGTTGGTTGAATCACCTGTTGAGCGTTGCTGCTTCAAGATTGAAATCCAATATTTTGATCCATATAGATATGTACATGAGTTAAGCTAACTTACTGCGTGACTTTTGCATCGGGTAGAATCGGTTATAATTTAGAGTCTTCTCCAACCAAAAATGTGAAGAACAACAAGCAACATCATGTAATTGCCCGACCCTGCAGTGTTTGAGAGGGCTCCGTTACTAAATTGCTATTCTTCCACCAAAAAGCTAATGCAATTCACCTATGCCCAGTTGATTTGGTGTATGATCACTTCTCAAAAAAATTGGTCCGTTTTGGGGTTCCCGAAATAATAGGCGCCGCATGATAAGGACCCCGAGAATCCCCCCCAAACTAGCTGTTTCGTGCATCGATTTAGGTTTGCGGTCGTTCGTTCGAGGAGCAGCCCTGGGAGTTATATGCCTTCATGCCGGAGAGCACCACTTTAGCAGCAGCAGGCTAGGGAGGTCACAGTGTGGGGGGTGTTTAGCTTCTTTGTTGCTCTGGTGTGTGATTGGGGTTGGTCCGGGGGGGGGGAGGGGGAAGCGTCGATATGTAATGTAGCACGGGTCAAATAGTCGAAAAAGCAAGCAACAACGCTAAGAAACGCCGACCCGCTGCGGGTCCCCAAATGTTATGCAGCCTTGGGTCTCGGGATGGGTGCTTTTTGGAGGCTGGGGGCTTGTTTGTGGCAGCCCTCCACTTCGCCGCCGTGGAAGGGCTGTCGTTTTTGCCCCTTTTTGATGGGAGGGAAAGGGCGTGCAGCCGGGAACATCGGTATTTATAGCGTTTTTGCTGCTGGGCCTGGTAGCTTTTGCTCAAAATGTTGGCCAAAATCGTCGATTTCTTTTGGTTTTCTTTCTTTGACGGAAAAGCTGTTTTTGCCGCGTTCTCTTGCTGGCAGGCAGAAGATGAGGACAGAGACCCACAGACACGACCCGGAGAAGAAACTGCTGTAAGTCCCGATGATTTTCCGCGAAAGAGGCGGAAAATGCCGCAAGAACCGAGGATTTTAAGGCAGCCTGGCCCGCCCTCCCAAGAGGAGATGCAACAACAAGCAAAAACCAAGTGTTTCGGCGTGATAAACACAAAAGTGAAGCTTCCCAGCACTTCTTGTGCGAAGCCCGAAGCCCTTTGGGCCAGCTGTGCAAAGAACACTGCAAAGAGCAGCGTGTGACGAGAAAGGAAGCTTTTCCAAGATCACCCTGTTGCCAAAACCCAACGTTTTTGGTTAAATTCCACAAACGTTCCACGGCGGCGAAGGGGAGACCTTCCTTGTTTGTGGCGATTTCTCATAAGCGGCTGCCTTTAGGGGTTGGGGGTCTCTTCGGGTCTCAGTGCTTCGATGGTTTGGGTTCAGGCCCCAGCGTGGGGATGCCCACATCCTCGTGCCCTAAGTCCCTCGGCCCTGAAAAAGCCCTAGAACTCCCCAATGGCCATCGCTGAGCGCCTTTCAATGGTGTAGGCTTGTCTGTTCGACCCCAGCCTCAACATCCCGAAGGTCGGCTCTACTTGGAGGTTCATAAGTGGGTTATAAGTACAATCATAATTGGTTCATAAGTACCATGAACCTCCGAGTAGACCCCCAGTTCGTGAGGTGATGAGCCTGGTGCACGAAGCATCCGCCAGCTCCAGCTGGCGTCGCAGGAGGCAACTGCCCCGTTCGTTGTGCTGAGGTCTTAAAGGGTTTTGGGTTTAGGGTTTAGGGTTCGCAGCGTCTTCGGTTGCTAGAAAGTTTCCCCATCAACAGGTGCTTCCCGAAATCTTTGATCCTATATCGTGACCCCCGCCCCTTCTTGGCTCGAAAAGGGGTTTCGCAACCTTGGTTCCAGTCCCAACCCCTCCGGGGGCTTGACAGAACCCAAGAGCATAGAAGCCGCATCAAAAAGGGCGCGGTCCTGTCACAGGCTTCGGGCTTCAAGGCTTGGGATGTACGGGGCTCCTCAAAGGGTTCGCGATTTATGGTCCATTTAAGTAGCCCCAAAAAACGCGAGAGTCTCCCAAAATTCTAAGCGACTGACGCTCGAAGTCGTTGCCAGGAACTAGGCAGCTACCGGTCCAACCGCACATCGATGCCTCGGCCCCGGGATGGCACCGGGGGATGCTCTGGGTTTAGGGTTTAGGGTTTCGGCTTTAGGGTTTAGGGTTTGGGGTTTTGGGTTTGGGGTTTAGGGTTTGGGGTTTGGGGTTTGGGGTTTAGGGTTTAGGGTGAACTTTGAGCACCAAGCTGCGCCCCCAAGCTCGAAGCAATGCCTGGCCTTCATGTTCAGGGTGTTGCGCCAAGAAAAAGACTTCCACGATTCGCACCCCTTGGTGCAAGGTTCTTGGAGGCACGGCTTCAGCGCATCCACCCTGCACCCTGCTCCCCCAAACCCAAACCCTGAACCCTCCTTGGGCAGGTTGGTGCACAAAACGACCAAGCCTGCAAGCTTGAGACCGAATCAGGCGATCAAAATCTACCCCGCGAAGCCACATTCAGGGCTGAGGTATGCTTGCTGAGCTCACTCGGTGATCCACCGGGTGCCTGGGCCAGGAAATGCAACCCGTTGAAGCATCAAGACTCACGTGCACCCCGAAGCCCTGAACTCACACAAGCAAGCCTTGGTTAAACCCTAAGCTCGAAAGCCGAGAAGCAACACCAAATCCTTAGCCCAACATCATCAGAAAAAGGGAACCATCAGCCCGAGCTAGGCGTGGCTCGGGCGCAGCCGCGGTGGCCTGCCAAGAATGCGCAAGGGTTGAGGGTTTAGGGTTTAGGGGTTTGTGGGTTTAGGGCCATCATTACCTCACAGGGGCGAAGGGCTTCGAGCACGTCAGGGGGCTGCAGTTAAGGGCCGAACCCAAAAGCAAGCCACACTCCGGAAACGTAACGACCCCAGACCCAAACCAAACCCTGAGCCAAGCCGAGCCAAGCCAGGCTGTACCTGTAGGAAGTTTAGAAACTTGCTCTCAACCTCCAACCCCCAGCCAAATCAAGCCCCGACTAGGCCAGGCAAAGCAGAGCCAGACCGCGGCAAAAGACACCAGCCACACCCAAGAAAGGAACCAACGCCCTCCATCGAATACCAATCAGACCACATCCCGGCAGCAGCCCGCCCCTTTCCCATACGACTTATTTGAGAAAAAAGGTCTGTTTAGAAAAACTATGGATGCTAAGGGATGTGTTGGGGTGTTTGGGGGTGTTTTGGGATTCGTAGAGTTTTTGATCTTTTTTGAACGTGTGCTTGTGATTGGCTTTAAGGTGTTCAGCGGGGATTTGAGGTGAAGAAGTCTGACTGCCACGTGAGCTTGGGAGCACTAAACATGTCGGCTTGAGGGTTGCATGGTTGCAACAGATCCTTGGATGAAGTGCAGAACACCGGACGGTAAGCTCCCTTGGTTCTGGTGTTTCTTTCAAAACAACCTTCCTGGCGCTGACCCCAACCCAAGGCCGTACCCCTGAGCACCAAAAGTCCCTAAGGCTCTCAAAATTACTGAATAGCGAGGGTTGGAGAAGGTGGACTTTCGATGGTACTTCTTGGACGACGCAGCTGCAGGCCGCCCCCCCAAGATGCCCCAAGTATCGGAGTCAAGGTATATCTGCACACATCTTTGAGAAGACCCTCACTCAAAGAACCCAGAGAAAACCCTGAAAAAAAAGCCCTGAAACCCCTAAAAGCCCTAAAAGCCCTAAAACCCAGGGATTGGAGTGGAGAGTGGGTTTGCTGCTCAGGGGCTTTAGGCAGCTTCGGAGAAGTTTTGGGGATGTGGCTTTCGGGGGTGCCCTTCAAGGGGTTCAGGGTTTAGGGTCTGGGGTTTGGGGTTTGGGGTTTAGGGTTTAGGGTTCTGATAACAGCATCTGCAAAGAGATGTTAATCGGCGAACGGCCACCTGAAGGACCTGCATCTCCCCGCTTTTCCCATGCTTGAACATCCCATGGCACCTGAGCAAGCGGCAGTTGTTGTGACGTATTCTGGGCTTGGGAGAGATCATGTTCAGAGCTGAGTCGACAATGCCAAGGCGTGCTGATGCTGGTCCGGATAAGCCCCCGCTGCCGGTCGTATCAAGCGCATGCGCTCTTCGTCATGCTAGATTCTACTCCTTCGCATGGGAACCAGCTTGAGTGAGTTGCTCATCCATTCCGCTATCTTGCATGCTCTTGTCGTACAAGTCACGAAAATACCGTTCGGTCCAGCATCTAGAGCAGGAGTTCCTCCACCAAGGCTTTAGCTTCTAGGTAGGTCCTTGGGACATTATCTATGTTCCCTTCCTAACAAAGGTTAAAGAAGAGGATCATATTTTGGAGCATTTCTCAGAGGCTTTTTCTAGCGCCATCCTGGGCCGATGAGCCTTTGCAGCAATGACTTCCGACCAAGCTGCGGCAAATCAGTTCCACTTCTGGCGACGTGTGTCATGCATGTGGCTGGCGTGTTACCGCCACCGCCCGACATGATCCCTTTCTCGGTCTTGACATGGTTTTTGCTGAGTTTTTGCTTGTGGTTTACGGGAGCTCTCTGTCTTCGTAGAGCGATGTTTTTTTTGCCATGGTCATCGACGATCTTACTTTTCTCGGACTGTCTGAAGACTTGCGAACACCTTTGAACCTCATCCCTGAAGTTCACGTATCAAGGAACCTAAACAACCTGGCCTAGACGGGCAAACCTGAAACCCTAAACCCTACCTTTACCCTAAACCCTAAACCACATGAAGCCACAAACCAAACCGAAGGACTGTTCAACTCCCCATCGCCATGCACATACGGGGCGAGTACGAGCTCCTCCGTGCCCAGCGTGTGATCAACACTGCGCCACGTAGCCGACGTGGGCCCTCGGCACCTGCCCGATCCTTTTTTGAGGAACTTTCGTTTTTTGTTGGAGGCTTTCTCTTCTTGGCGTTGTTTTTTCTGTTTTGGGGGAGCTTCTTGTTGAGACTCTGGAATTTAGGGACAACACGGAGCACAAAGGCTTTTGTTTTGGAAGGTCCCTGTCTCCCCAAGCTGCAAAGGACATGTGCAGCAGAGGCTGGAAGAGCCCTTTCTTTGCTCCAGTCGGGGTTCGGTGCCCCAGCGGCAGGAATTGAAGCTGCGCACCGCCGACGACATTGGTGTCGTTGCTGCTCGGCCACCCATATGAGTACACTACCTAAGTACATGCGATAGATAGCACTGATGCTCCAAGCTACTACATGTTTTTTTTTGCAAGGTAAACCTGTGCAGCGCCTTTTGCTGCACCGAAGCACAGAGACATAAGGTTGTCACTGCCAGGCAGCACCTCCACACCCGGGCGAGACACATCAACGGGACCTGGGGTCGTCGTTTCCGTCGTCTTCACTATGCCTCCAGCCCCTCACCTGCCCAGCAATAGCACAGCTAGAGTGTACAATTGGGATGTTCCCCTTATACTTACACTCCTTCATAGGGATTCTAGTGCCCCCTTTTCTACTCCCGATTAAGAAGGGGGAACATCCCAATGCTACAGCTACGACACTACTTCTTGGCTGTCTTGGAAGGTTCTCGGGGTGCATCTGGAAGCTTGCTGCACGGAGACATCTTGAGAGGTTTGTGGGGCATACGCCCGCCACCTTTGTTCAATGATCTCTTTGAGCCAGACAGCTATGAGAGCAGTTTGTACAAGGGCCACATTGGCTTTGGGCGTCTCTTCAAGAAGCATCCGAACCTGCCGTGGTATGGACTTGTAGGCGACGATGCCTACCTTTTCGATGATTACCTGGTACAGGCGTTGCATAGCGCCTCAGGGCATCCGGGCCGTGATCCTGTTTGTGCAGGCTATGTGGCTCGCTTGCCTACTGATCCACTGCTTATGGCCTTATACTCGATGATGAAGGGATGCACTGCTGTTTTTGGAGATGAGGAAGAGGACTTCATCCACTGCCTTCACGAAGGGCAAGCGCGGGTGCTGCGGTACTCCAACGCCACATTTGTGTACGGCGCGGCTATCTTCTGCAGCCAAGCCGCCATGCAGCTCATGGCACCCTTTCTTCGCGACGAGCTGGTTACTATATCCGCCTTGGGAATTATTGTATATTTTTGTTTATATAAAACCCAAGAGGTTATGAGAAATAGTCTTTTCCATTAAGGTTGTACAGGGAGTATAGGTTACTGGCGTCCTGGAGCATTGGAACGGCCCTATACTTGGCCATGACATGTCGAGCCACTTCCTCGACCTGACACCTGTCTCGGACATTGTGCTCGGCGTGTGCATGGCGCGGCCACAATGCACCCAACATCCCAGACCCTGCAAGCATGAAATTCAGAATCCGACGCCTAACCTTCTTTCAAGCCTCGAACAAGCTAAACACTCGCATTCGAAATGACCTTCCATCCTTCAAACCGAGCAACAGCCACCAGTGCAGCGAGAAGAAGAGCTGCAGCCCTGAGGCACAGCTGGGGATCCGATTGTCCGATTTCGTGGCGGACGGATTCTGGGGCGGCGACCGACTGCCTGGTGCCCTTTTGATTTCAAGGGACTGTAGGGGGCCTTGAAGTTGAGAATATGGGGTTTCAGAGGTTTAGGGCATGGCTTGAGAATTGAACGCCACAAGTAGCCCAAAACCCTCTTCCCTACGCTTGGTATCGAAAATTTCAGGGCATCTATCATGCACCCCTTACACAGACTACAATATCCCTTCAAGTTCATGTTGGTTTCCATTTCGTCTTAAGCCGTCTGGGGTCTGGGTTTTTTAGGGGCTTGGGTTGGGGCTTCCGTCCTGAAGGTTCCATCCCGGATGCCGAAGAAGCAGACCCAGCTTACCGCCGAGGGCTTGCGCCTGTGCGCCTGGCCGACGCATCCCGGCCAGCTGTCTGGCACAAGCTGGAAACACAGGCACGGCCCTAAATTCTAATTTGATATTGGTATTGTTATTGCAACTTGCTACTAATTCTATTGCTAGAACGATTATGATGACTGAAAAATATTTCTATTCTATTACCCTGATTACTTCAAATAATCTTCTTATTCTGATTGTTACTAGCGCCTTTACGATCACGATTCTACTTCTGTTACTATTGCTATCGGTATTGCTATTGTTACTGCTATGGTTATTGTATTGCTGCTATTACATATTTATTATGGCTGTTGCCGGTACATTTCTGTCACTACTTTTCCTATCATTACTTCTGCTAGTATTACTATTACCGTTTCCATTATTATAACTATTAGAACTACTACCATTGCTATTCTTCCTCTCGCGATTCTAATGACTATGACCATCACGCTCAGAACTTCTATCAATATTACTGTCAGTATCACCATAACTGTTACTGGCTACTGATTCCTAATTCCTAATTCTTAATTTCTACTCATTAGCTATTACCTATCAATGATTAAGTTGCTGATTAGTATTTTTACCAACTACGAAGTGCAAATCATCAAAAGAATATCGCGCCATCATTAGACATTCCTTCAACCAACCCTTTCCAAACCCATCATGCTTGTATTAGGGCGGATGGGGGGGGGGGGGGGTGGGTGTTGCCCCCATGATTACATGAATCCTGTCATGCCACCATTGTGTTTGCAAATCGGGGGGCAGCATACCCTCCCCAACCTCCCCGCTCTTGAGCCGCGCAAAGCTAGTTTCAAAGAGTGCGTCATCAGTACACATTTTTGCATAACTTAGGCGGTTGACAAGGATTCCCTTATAAGGACCCACAATAAGGTACCCCTAATTTCGGAAACCCCATGTTGGAAAGCTGCAGCGACGACTTAGTAAACTTCCATGCAGGAGGAGTTCCAGCAAGTCGATTACTGGCACCGGACCTTAAGGGAGGCGTTGCATGCAGGCAAAAGCTACCTTGCTGCTGTTGTGGCGTTAGGATGGATGACATATCTATTCTCTTGCCTAGTTTTGGGCTTGGGGCTCAGGAATACCCCGTCCACGCCCCCTTTGCGTTGGAGTGCTTTAGGGAGCCCTTCAGGGTGCAGGGTTTGGGGGTTTCAATGCCTCTAGAGATTTTGCACTTCCTTCATGTCTAGCGCCATGGAGAGTGGCCTAAATCCTTTGAAGCGTGCAGGCGCATTGTCACAGCCCAAAAAGACAATGAAATTATGTGGTAGCATGCTTCAAGCATTGGGGATCTGATCTGTTTGATTGCAGGGTCTCCTTGTTTCGTAAGCACCCCCCAACTCGGAACCGCATAGGGTTGGTATTCCGCGTAGGGTGTCGGCTGGTCTATACTCCTGGGATATCGCGAACCCTATCAGCACCGGAAGCCCAACCCAAACATGCTGAAACCGCAAGTGACTTTCAAAGAAAGAGAGGAACCCATACTGGGGTGGAAACGGGCTGCATTCCGATCCGTCAAACCCAGTTTGCACAGAGAGAGAGAGAGAGAGAGAGAGAGACAGAGAGAGAGAGAGAGAGAGACGGAGAGAGAGAGACAGAGAGAACGAGCGAGCGAGCGAGAAAAGGCAAAAAAAAACATTGCCAAGATGTGTCCTTCCTTAAACCATTGAGGGCACAGGGTGTAGAGATTGCCTGTGTAGTGTTTAGGGATGATAGGGCCATGATCCCATGGGGCCCATCTTCTTTGAGTCAATGAGCAGGGCTGCGGCGTGTGTGAGTCGTACGGTTAAGCTGGCATGTAGGCTGATGCAGCTGATGATGCAGAATGTCAAATTTGCAGTTTTGGCTTTCAAGGGCTGTATGGGTCTTACATGGTTAATCCATGTGAACCTGGTACTGGGATTTCTTCGGGGTCTCATCGTGCTTGGGTTTCGAGTTGGGGCTTTTGGCCTTGTGAGATCCACAGTCTATTGAAGCCTTAAACCTGAAGCTCTAACTTCCTCTACACAACCCCCGAAGCCTAGGGCTGCCCCAAATCCAAAATCTGCCGCGCGTCGCTGTCATGATGTGGAGGTGTTCCTGCTGGGGGCTTGTTCCGAACACGGCTGGTGGCTCTCGATGGGCAGGCAGGGCTCTCGAAACACAAAAGACCAAACCACCAACTCCCAAAGCCAAACTTCCCCCCGAAAGGCCTTAATGCATACGAAGTCGTAGCCCCAAACCTTTTTGCAACCAGTCTGAGTAGCTTCTCTAATTTTTTTCCATCAGCAAGCCACCGGCAAATCGCCATCCAAGCTCTCCAAGCCCAAACGTGGGCTCCGCACGCCTCCGTATTGTTTGCGTCAGCTCTGAAACCCAGCCTCCCAAGATTCTAACAGATCTTGCACGAAAAATGCCCTCTCCAGGGCCTCTGCAAACCCAAACCCTGAACCCTTAACCCTAAAACCCTAAACCCCCCTAAGCCTAAGCCCTCACAACCCACTGCACATCAGGGCCGCGCTGGCAAGTGCGGGTCTCGGGCTCCTCTTTTTTCTGGAGACGCAGTCTCTTCTTGCTTAGGCCTGCACTATGGCACGCTCTCCTTAGGTTTATATTATGCTGCCTCTCCAGGCGACTTCCGGTTTGGTTTCCAGGACATGCTCCGATTAGGACACTGCAGACATTGCTTTGTTTGGTGATTGTATGGCCCTCAACCAAATCTCTTGAAGACAAGACATTTGTTGACCGTGCAGTAATGATGATGATGCTGCTGCTGATGATGATGTGCTTTGCAGGCTGGGAAAGGTTCATTCCATTGCTTTCGTTATGGACTCTTTCATTTTCAGCAGCACCATGGAGTCTGCCATATGCCAGCGGCCCGTGCTCGTACTTCTACATGTCGTGCTCTTGATCTCATTGCATTCATTCGATGAACTTCAGCCGTCACACCCAGGTGCACTGGCCTGCGTGTGAACATCAGCCACATGCCAAGATGGGGGCAAAGCTTCTGTAAGCCCATGCCGCCATGACAAGTGCAATGTGACCATAAGACGATATTACTCTTTACTTAAGAATCCCCAAAAAAGCTTTAAAAAAATCTTCCTCATCAGCAAACAGGGATTGTTACTTATTTGTTCTTTTTTTTTTTTGGGGGGGGGGGGGGGAGGGGGGGGGGGGGGGAGGGGGTTCTTAAGCAAGTCGTAGGAAAGCCGTGGCTGGAAATCCCCCTCCAGGCCTCACCGGCAGCGCGCAGCTGTCCTCAACTTGTGCCCAGGTCTCACGATTGGGACTCCTTTTTCCTCCTTTCTGTCACTGTTGAAAGTTCGGGCTTAAGTTCGGGTTTCAGCGTTTAGGATTTCAGAGAAGCGTTTAGGAAGTTTCGAGACTCTTAGAGTTTTTTCTCGGGCCGGCAACCCTCGAAAATCTGATCGCAAGGTGCACTCGATCGGTGGAAGGGGTCCGAGCTGGAATTAGACATCCAGGACTCCACCACCATGGTCAGCAGGCCTCTTTCAGGAGTTGTAGACCCAGGGCGCCCACCGGGGAATGCTGCAGGTGCTCAGAGCCTTGAACCACTCATCTGCCCCTTGGGCCAAAAGCCCTTCAGGATTTTACAACCTCGAGGTTCCCAGAGACTCCGAAACCCTAATGAAGGGGTTTTGGAGTCTCTGGGTTCAGAAGTAGGAGCCCCACTGTCCCATGCCAAGAGCGAGTCAGGACAACGTCGCGGAGAGCGTCGATGTTGAAGTCGTGTCCTCAGACGACGTAGGATTGAAGCCCCAGGAGTTGCGCGATTTTCCGTTTAAGAGTCCACAATATTCATTAGCAATTCCTTGGAGCCCTAAGCTTTTAGGCTTACATACTCATCCTTCTGATTTGGGGTCTTTAGCGCTTCGCAAGCTGCTGGCTTTCGAGTCTGGGCCGCAGTGTCAAGTAAATGAACGCTTCCGGAAAGCTGGTACCAGCGAACTGCCCCCTTGTGCCCTCATCGCCAAAACACCAGGCGGTTCGATGGCATTACATATCCTGAGCCAGAAGGTCTTTCGAACATTTGGTGCTGTCGAACGTCCTGTTTTTTGCTTCGTCGGCATAGAGAAGGGACCAGGGAAGAGAGAACTCAGCTTATGTGGAGATTGAGCGGCAATCACTCCCCCCCATATGGTGAATCACCTTTCACGCAAGGGGCGGAGCCGCCCCAGCGTGTTGAGGCGGAATGGCCGCTAAATAAGCCTGAATTCTCTCATAGAAGAGAATTCTCCCCGCACAGAGGTGGCAGCTGCACTTTACATAAAGCGGGGCTTCCTACGCAGAGAATGCAATCCCTTGACACCAGCAACATGGCAACGCGCATACAAAAGAGAAGATGTGTAGAAAAGCTTTATCTCTGTGTTGGTTCCTTTAGGCCAGTCCTCCTTGTGGAAGCAAGTCAAGGGGACTTCCCCCCCCCCTGCCAGTCTAGGAATCCTACCAATTCCCGGCCAATTTATCCTGGCTCCTTTGTACATGTTCCCCCCCCCCCCCCCAAAAGGTGTCCCCCCGCCCGCCATGGAACCCCCCCCTCAGAGAGTGCGTGAATCTTGGACTGGTTCCTAGCTCTTATTAACTAGCCCGTATGGTTGATCTGGGGCTGAGTCTTAATGTCTTGAGAAACTAACCGGCTTAGAGACCCTTCCAACCGCAGCACCCATCACACCTTGAGACCCTAACTCTCATATCTTGGTCTAACCGTTCACACCCTTGGAATCGCATGCCAGGTTAACCGTGTAAAAGCCCGATTATAACCGTTCACACCCTTGGAATCGCATGCCAGGTTAACCGTGTAAAAGCCCTATTAATAGAATACTAAAGGCGTGAACAAAGGCAAGTTTACGCGAGCTTACGAATTTACTATTATTATATTGGGCTTTTATTGGGGCGGTCTCAATGAGTGGTGTGTCCGTACGCATGAAACGCAACCATTAATAATATTATAGCATGCGTCCCTTACCTATAATATGATAATGGGTGCTCTTCATGGACGGACTCTTGGGACTTCGCTCGTGCATTTAATACGGCATTCATGCTGTCATTATAA